TTGTTGCTTCGCCAGTACTGCAATTTCTGGGAATTGGTTGAGACAAGCTTAAATCCCATTTCACCCACCAAGGCATTCAGGGGAGACAACCTACAGATCGAAGCATGGCCTTTTACATTGAAAGCTGGTGGTTGTCACTGCGCCGGGGATTTGCCCAATGCGAGCTGTGGCTAGAACCAGCAATTCAGCCCAAAACCCATGCTCGGACAGCATGGAGGTGCTCTGCGTGTGGGCGGTATAGAACCCATTCTTCCATTTGCTGAAGAGTATTTGTTATTTTCGCTTGTTTGTCTTTAAAGGGAATCTATCACCAGAATTCAACAAGAAGCATTTGTATAGACAAACATCGGTTTGTCAAAAGGGTGCTCCTGCCAGCTTGTAGTCCGTAGTTTGACCATGCGTACAGAACACCCTTCTTGCAACAGGCGTCAGGAAACCGTGGGTCAACCTTGGGCACCAGCGCCCTAAAAATGTCAGCCCCGACCTGCTGTTTGGGGCCCACACACCTTGCTGGCCCCAAGCCATCCGGTTCCTGGGGCTTTTTAGGCTTTTAGTGCTTAGTGGGGTTCCTTGGGGCGAGCCATTGGGGGAGACTTAACTGCGTTTTTTTGAATAGGTACTCAAACTTGGTCCCAGCCATCCCCTTCGCTTTTTAGACCTTTAGTGTTTAGTGGTAGTTCCCATTTAGCCTACTAAGAGATAGTCACTTTCAGCGGGGGATCTGAGGGCAGCCCACAAACCAAATTGAAAAATGGAGACGCAGACCGTACGGCTTGACCTCTTTGACAAATCCAGTGCCCTCGTCCAGGCGAGCCAGCGTACAACGGGGAGCCAGTGAGCTGAGAGCACAGGGGACCCGCTTGATGGGTTTTCTGATTGTTTGCGACATATGTATATGTGCAGGATGTGGCTTGTGGCAGTTTTCCTCTTATAGTTTCCCCTAATTTGTTTAAAGAACTTATTTTTCTATTATTAGTTCAGGTTTGCACTTCTTCCGAACACAAAGCGTCGTTTTGAACTGACCGCGCGTAGAAAATCGAGCAGCAGCAAGTTTTCACAGCTCAGCTGCAAGACCCGGGCCAAGGTGGTGCAAAAGTCGACTGCGGAGTCACTGGCTTCCCAGCCAGCTGGCAACATGACCCAAGGAAGGGCCCCTTTCAAGACGAATCCATCGGGAAACCAATCGGTTGGATGGTTTCGAAGGTCTTGCATGCAGTTACCTCAGCAAGCTGCATGTCTTCCCTTCAGGGCAATTGACATGGAACCCCCGGGTGTCGGTTCAGATACTGTATCGATTTACCATCCTCTCAAGACCTTACTTTTTAGGCAACGTGCACGTGCATGGCTTAGCCTTCAACAGATGGGCGCACGGTGCAAGCTGGGTGGTTGTTCATGTTGAGAGTTCTATGGCGCCCGCAGGTTGCACATCTCACAATGGAGATGTGTGCCAAGTTCAGAAGACCCTTTCACTTGTTTGGTGGGCCTGGTCATGGATCCCTTAGTGGCAAATTTCGACACGAGTCTCCGCTAAATACGCCATGGCCATGACCGATGCAAGGGCTACTTGCAGGGCTTCCCTGGCGCATGCAGAAGTGAGGGTCGACATTTGCAAAGAACTGCAGGCTTGCGGGAAGGTCTCGCACACAAGACTAGGCGTTGCACGTCGTCACATATACAATACACAGTTGTGCACGCCGAAATGGGTCGAAGGCCGTGTATATATTTATGTATTGATTGGTTTACTATTCATTTGTTTGTTTATGTGGTATGTGTTGTCTACATATATATATATACCTACGTGTGTGTGTGTTGTTTGCTTTGCCTTGATTTATTGGTTGTTTTTTTGTTGACTCCGCCAAGCACATATGCATACAATACCAAAGTGAGCGAGTTGTTGTTGCCATACCCAGGACCTAGGTGGCACACACACACACACGCGCACGCAGAATGCCTGTTCTCATGTCTGGAGTCTGAATCATGGCTTGCTTCGCCCTGGGTCCAAGCCTTGAGTTGCAATCCCGGGATGCTTCCGGAGGAACATCAAACAACAGCCACGGGAATCGATGCTTCCGATGAGATGGTAGGACTTGGTAATTCAAATGTTCTGACAAGTTCAACACGTTTTTTTGTTTCCTTAATCCGTGGAGTATATGAAGCTGAGCGATCTCGGCCTAGCACTCTTTGGCATCAGTTTTCGGACACTGGAGGGCCGCCCACCTTTACCATGGGGGCCGTTGATTTTCTTTGACCTTCAGACATGGCAGGTTCTGCGGAACCAATTGGAACTCTTGCAGGGGCAATTTGACCTGTGTTACTGTCGCGCAGGAGCAGCAGGAACATCCCTGAGGTCAATAGATGCCAACACCAACTCCCTGAAGGGGGGGTTCTAGGGCATTCCCTGGATGCCCGGAATAGGTGTTGCAAGTCTCTGTGCACATTCCCCAGAGATTCCATTAAAGAAACCGCTCACTTCCCAAGTTTGTTTGGGTTTTTGCCTTTTGCAGGGCCAGGTTTGTGGCAGGCAATCTTTTCTAGTTGTTTTTGGCCAAACAAGCCAGGAAGGGGGATTCTGTTTCCCCAGTGAGGCCAACCCTGTTTGGAACATACGCCACTCGTCATGGGCGCTCCTGAGCGGGTGGAGAGAGGAGAGCCGTTTCGTGCAGTTGATGGGCCGGTGACACCCCCTTTGGGCCCGGGCTTCGTGCAAGCTGCAAGATGCTTCCCTGCAATTCAACAACATGGACCTCCCATGATTTTGATGCAAGCTTTTTTTTGGGTCTGTTCTTTGCACGGGAGAACGTTTGGGTTTTGCCTCCAATTGGGCTTACCCCAAGAATAGGTTTCCTGTTGCTTCCATTGGCAACGGCCCCAAGCCGCAGCACCCTTAAAAGGACCGCCACGTGGGTGCCTGCGAGAACTACGGATCCACTGGGAGGCTCTTGCAGAAACACTAGTTCAGAGTGCCTTATACTTCCACTTCCGCATGTAGTACCTGCTAGCTGCCTACTAGCTATGTGCAAATGATTGTCCGGTTTACCGAAGGTGGCCTTTCGCACAGCGTAAATCACGGCTTTCTCATTCAATGGACACCGCCCTGTTGATTTTGCACAGCGCAGCATGTCTTTTGCCTTGCTGTTCCTTCCCTTTCCCGAACTGGTCACCGGGGGTTTTTGAGTGCCTCCGGTCCAGTAAAAGACAAGGAGCTCATTTGGTCCCTTGGGGATAAGCCACGGGCAGGACGAAGGCCCTCCAAGCTTCCATTTGCTTAAGAATATGTTGTTTTTTCTTTATTTTTTCCCCCTGTTTGTTTTAAAGGGAACCCGTGACTACTGGACATATTTTAAAACTTTTCTGGGGGGCATAAGCAAATGGAAGCAAGGGGGATGTGTTTCTTTCTGCGATCGCGGGCCGGTGGCTTCAGGTTCCGGCTTCCTGGGCCTAGGGCGCGAAGAAAGTGAGCCACTTGCTCAAAACCAGAACGGTAGATGAAGGTTACGGGAGCCAGAAATTCTTGAAGCATGGTTCTGGGTAGACCAGTTTTTTTTCCGGGTTTTGATTGTGACTCAAGTCATCTGCATTCCTCGCTGCGCAAGTGGTAAGTGTGTGTTGTCTTTTTGGTGTGCGTGCGTGCGCGTCACCCAATCTTTTTGCATTGAATTGACTATTGGTTCTCAGGGTCGATTCCACTTGATGTGTCGTCTCACGTTGTCGGTTTGCAGTGGCACGAGCCAATTCTGCCAGCTTTGAGGATGGGAGAGCAATTGCACAATGGATTCCAATGAAGCACAAGAGCCAGCCTGGATTGTTGGGTGGCTATACTCCCAGAGGTTTGATTTCGAAGCCTAAGGTCCATGCGCCCGATTTAGCACCCAGGAAAGGGTGCCTCCCTGTGATGCCTATTTCTGTCTCCTGGCAAGTGCCCCGACTTTGGGAGTGAGATGCCGCATTTCCGCAGCCGAATGGAAAGCTGCTTTCGAATGTCAGTTTTTACCCAACAACTGCCAGCAACAAGTGCGTTTGTCTTGAAAGTGGACTACTTCTTTTGGCATCCTCTTTTAAAAAAACCAACCCTAGAGGGACCATCGAAGTTCAGCTCCAATTCAAGAACATTCTAAGAGACATAAAAGTCAGTCTACTTGCTGACCGAAGCAACGACTTGGAATCATCCAGCTTTCCGGCTAGGACAACCGCCTCGGTATGTGCCTGCAGTTGTAGGTCTTAATCTTAATGTTGATTTGTTAGGTAGTTAAAAGGGTTAATTGTTTTTTTACACCACCGGTTTAACATTTGTTGTGCAACTCATATTTTGTCCAGACCCCCTATGCAACATCTACGTCCTAGCTCGCCTGACCCCTCCAAGTAACTTTTGAGTTTTACCCTTTCCACGTCCCCACTGCCCGCACGTTCGCGCCGGAGTGGCCTATGACCTGAGCACCGCATGCGGAGCTGCCTGCTGCTGACACTGGTGGGGCGCTTTGGCGAAAGAAAGCGCAAAGAAGCAAAACTGTAGAGGGATCTAGGGGTACCTTCCCCATTCTTTCCAGGCATGCTTCTTTCTACAAAACCACCCAAAACCCTGGGGCAACAGCTGGTTTTTGAAAAGAACGATGGTTGAACAGAATGGGGGATCAACTTCTAGAGGGATGGCAAAGGACCCCGGACCTCCAAACCACTCCAAGCAAAAAGGAGGGAAAGACGCCATTCCGTGGGCCCTATCATTTACTTGCTGGTGCGATAGGCATGGAATGATTTGGAATGACCCCGACAAAAACCATCCAACTGGTTGGGACCCTGGGTTCATTCCCGCGTTCCCTACGGAGCACCAGCAAGAAAATCAGCACGGATGATTCCCTAATCCAGTTATGCAGCGGCACGCAAATCATGGTTGGTCTTTGGTGTGACCGAATCAGAGACTTTTTGGAAATCTGCTACTTGGGAGCCCGCCTTCTGGTCGGTTCGCGCCGAAATAAAGACAAACCGTGATTTGTTCCCCAAATTTGAAGACATACGCCGGCGTAGTGCGCGCTTGGCAGTCCCCAGTTAGTAGGTGATTCATCGCAATATTCGAGTCGGGTTTCATTCATCCCAGCTGGTGCAGGATTTTGATTTGCCGAGGTTCCATTTGAAGAGGGCGTGCCGTTTCTTCCTGAGTCTCAATGGGAATCAAGAGGGTTTTGGGAATGAACCTAGCGATCCTTTTGAAGGAAGCCACAAAGGATCCTTTGTATTGTGTTATGAGCCAGCAAGTGTTGGAGCAGAGACGCGAAGAATGTAATGGCGGGGTTGACTTGAGATACTGAATTGCGGGGACTCCTAGTGAAGCAGCATGTGAATTCACGCATATATTGTGCACTGCATGTGCATGTGCAAGTAGTATAGCAGGGCCTTTGGCCACGACCTGACCAAGATTACAACAGAAAACGCAGACCCATCAGCCCAGCTTGGTGAGAGTGAGGGCATCACATGTAAATCGTCGTGATGGCGGCAATGTTGCTTCGGCAATCGCTTACACACCTGATGGATTTGTTTAGAGGGTGATTGATCCGGATCCCCTCCAATCTTTTACTTGATCTGGTTCGCATTAGGACATTCCACTGGTACAGCTTCAACTTTCCTTTTGTGGCAAAAACTCAAAACCATCAAAAGCCCAAACGCGGCACCCCTCCAAAACCTCCAACACACCTACCCACCGCACCCCTCCACCCCTCGAACACGGGACCCGACGACCGACGAGGCGACCGGCGGCCAGCGCTTCGCCCGAGACGCGGCTGGAGCGCCGGGGCCGCGAGGACTGCGAGCGCCGCTTCCGCCGCACCGACTTCGCGGCCGAGGGCTTCAAGCGCCCCGCCTCGGGCTTCGCACGAGTGGAGTGTTGGGTGGAGGGCGCGAGGGGGAGGGGGGTGGGCGCTTTTGAACAACAGGCGGACCCCTGAAAATGTGGGGTGTTCAATGGGTGTTCAGAGTATGTGTGTTATGTTTGCTGGGAAGAATCTGGCACGGCTGGAAGAGGGTTTTCATTTTTTCGAGGGGACTTAAGAAACTGGAGAGTTTGTTCGTGAGGGACGGGAGGGATGGAAGGTCTGGGATGCGAGTTGCGTCAAACTCGGTATTTGGAATTTGGACCCCCAACATGGATTTCGGGTTTCCTTTGTTGTGTTCGTTGAAAGCCAACCTCAATGGGTGCAAACGCAAAGATGTTATTAGTTTGGGGGGAGGTCTGCGATGTGTTTGCTTTAAACAAAAAACAAAAACTGCGGGGAAGGTCTGGGACACGAATTTTGCTACGCGTTCTCCACCATCATGCCTGCAGCATTCCAAGAACCCTCCAATACAGATATATACACATGCACACACATGCACACACATACAGACATACATGTGCATGCACACAAACGTACACCTTTTGAACACACGATGCACTATGTTGAACCAGGCTGGTAAACGTGGACAATGGGTAGTTTTCCGCGAACGAGTCCCGACTGAGGAGCCCGTGGCTGAGCAAGGAGAACAAGTCAGCGCCTAGGATGGAAAATGACAGTAATTCGGTTTGATAGAAGCCACTAGGTAAGGAAAGTGGTAGCTTCCAATTTGGGCGGGAGGGTAAGTGCACAACCTTAAGGGGGAAGTTGTTATACAAGGTAATGTTTACACATTTCATGTGTACTTGCAGCAGAGTAAGGCAAACGTTGTTGGAGGACTCCCCAGTAGATTTTGGTACCATACACTGAGCAGACCGTTGGGTGATGCCCGCACTTCAAGACCCGTGGGTGGGGGGGGAAGCCATGATCACTGATCAACAATGCATTCGAATACCCGTTCATCACTGATTCTGCATGTGCTCCTGCTTCGCTAGTTGGAAGCATCCGAATTGGTTACTGTTTTGCGGCGCATCCTGGAAATCTTGAAGGGCAGGCGCATGTGCTATTGGGGACGGAGATCGGAGGGCCAAGCATCAGACACGGCAAGCTGAGTGATGGCAGGCGTCGCATAGATGGCAGACTGCACGGGAGAAACTTGCCAAGCATGCCTTTGGAAATGCAGCGTAATTATGACACAGTTCCGAATGAGTTTTTCGCACTTTGCACCCTTTTTCCAGACGGAAGCTGACGGGAGAATTTTGGAAGCCTAGAGTGGTCGTGAGAAGCATCAACTTCCATGGCTAGAAAAACTTAGGGGCTGGATAAGCTTATTTTAGGATCTGGCGTACTTCGGTTTAAAGTAGCACAACCCCATCATTATCATCATTCAGGCCCAAGTTAGCTTTTCCAATTCTTTTTGGGAGGGGTAGCGGCTTCCACTTTTATGATTGGAATGCCGTGCGCCAGTTGGTTCCTACCATGTTTCCGTGTTTCCCGAAAGCTGTGCAGATTGTGCCCAGCGCTGGCATAAATCCCATATTGATGTCGGAAGACCATATTTATTTAAAAGTCCTCACCTCCAACATTGGAATACCAGAAATCCAGTCAGCTAGTTGCCTGATGTCAACTTCCCAAACCTGTTTTTGAGATCCACCTGTTTGTGCTTCTGGGCCCAGGAAAAATGACAACAAAAATCAGCAAACACAAAGTTTTTCGAAGACCTGGTGAGACGGTTGGCTTCTTGGAACCTGAGGCCTTCATCGAGTGCTTGTACCGGCTGCGCACCCGGTGGCGGCACCGGGAGAAGTCCGTCTTCGCCGGAGGGGTCCACTACCCCACGCTGGTCACGGCCCACCACACCTGGCCCCCGGTGTCCACCTCCGGGGCGAGGCTCTGCTGGCTGGACCAACTTGGAAGCTCGGCGCCAGCTTTCGGAACCCATTCTCAGTTGTTGAGTGGCACCAATTATTTTCCCTTTTTTTGGGTGGCCGCCCCACTAAAAATGGTCTTCCCAAAGAAGGGTTCCCTTTTTTCCAGGGTCAGTGAACAATTGAGCATCTGGGGTGGATTGAAAGGGAAAGGGAGGCCGCCAGTTTTTGGGGTGCCCTACTGTGGACGGGCGAAACCCTGCACCACCTCAGACACCCTGGAATGATGATTCATTTTTAATTACCAACAAACAATGGTTTCCCATGGTTTCAACGTGGTGCAGGATTTCGTCCATCCACGAGAATCCGCTTGTTGCACCACCGTTCATCATGCCTTGCATGATATGACTTCCCCTGCAAATACCAACGAACAATGGTTGCGCCTGGTTTCCCTTTTAAATCCACCCCAAGAAGGGTACCGTCAAAGAACGAGACACCCATATCACGATCAAATGCTCACAGCATTTGTCCAGTGGGTCAGGTAATTTTTATTGTGTCACCCACTGGTCCCCTAAGGATTGCTCAGGTTGGTTTGCTTTGGACGCCAATTCGGGGCTCCTAAAAAAAGGTTCCCGGCTGGGCCAGCGCCAGAGGAACCCGCTGGTTTTTTTGTTGGGAAGCCTGGTGTTTGCGCGCTTGTGGAGAGGGCCTAGTTGGGACACTTCCGCCCCTGAGGTCTTCGGAGCAACTTGAGAAGAGGTGGGGAAAGAAACAGGACCTTCGGAGAACTGCAACCTTTGTTTGCAAAACGCAGACTCGTCACACAACAAGTCTGCAACCGACATTGTTTTAATGACGGGCCCTGCGTCCGTGTCTTGCCACATGCATGCGGGAGAGCGCAAGTATAGTATGAGGCAGTTTTTCGGGTCCGTTAAAGCAAAGATTTCGAGCCTTTGGGGCTGTGTTCCTCTATGCCCACCTAGAGGGTAGTTTTGCATGGACGGAACTGGAAGGTTCTTGTGGCAAAAACCACCTAGTTGGCAGCAGCGCGAGTGGAATGCGCCGACACTGGATGAATGCGGAGCCGAGACTCGTTTCCCGCACCATGCCCAGTTAGTAGGAGGCCCACCCCACTATTTATATTTATTGGGTTTCGCATGGATTTCGTCCACCCACAGTAGGATCCAAAAACATCGCGGTCTCGCACCAGTCCGAAATTGCCAATCCCTGAAATCGTGGGTGTTTTTTCCTTTGAATCGTCCTCCAAAATCGTCAGAAACCAAACCCAGCGCCTTCGACCCGAGGCATCCACCGCAACAGCATCTCGGCCAAAGAATGCTGCGACACCCGGCAGGGGCCAAAGGGTCGCCTCAGCTGCTGGGATGACTACTTCACCTATGAGCTGTGCTGCTTGGGAGCTTCTTGGCAGACGGGATCAGGGCGCCACCGGCTCTTCATCACACATGTTCCAGCCACTACTTCCATTTGCTTAAGTTGTTTTTCCCCCTTGTTGGTTTTAAAAGGAGTTTATCACTACTGGAAATATTGTGATTTTTTTAGGGGTCTTAAGCAAATGGAAGAGTAGCAACCTTTTTGCGGGGTTGGTTGTTTCAACCAGTCTTGCCCAAGCTGGTCATGAATTTGGTTTGGCCGGTTGTGCCCCAACCACACTAAGTCGCCCCGAGCAATCGGGTGGCAGGTTGGCCGTTTGAATGCCTTCACCGGGGCCCTGGAAGGAAGCCGGACGCATTTAGATCCCATGGCTCAAGGTTTCATGTCCATTTAGACATGAGTGTGTCTCAACTCAAGATATGAATTGGAGCCCCAAAAAGAATCGGATCTCGGTTTTCCCTGTGGTCTCCATGTAAAACTAACCCCAAGGGTACCGAGCTTGAACAAGAAAAGCATCACGCACTCGCGTGCGCGTCCTCATTTTCAGCCGAGGACGTGAACTTGGCTGAGATGCCGCACTTCTTTGTAGCGCCAGTGCCCTGGTGAGATGGCGGGGATGTGGTCCCAAAGCTGGGGATCTCCTCCAAAGCGAGCTTCTGCTTTGAACCTACACATTCCCAAAAAAACATATGGAATTATGGAATGGTTTGTAGAGGTCATTCCCTCATTTCTTGCTGAGAACCGGCAAGTTTCGCACAGACGAAGCATGAAGCAGATTCACGGAGCATAGGATTGTTTGTGCCCCCAGTGGACAAGAAACGGGCGCACGACTGATGGCTGCCAGTCCAAGACTCCCTGATCCCCCATATGGTTCCCCCCCCCCAACCAAAAAAAAAACAAAAACAAAGCTCCCCCGTCCCAAAAAGCCAAGGCTCAAGCAGCTCCGCACAAAAACCAGCTCCAACTGGGTTCCCTTTTTGGACTCGCCCAGAAAATCCGACGGTCCAACCAGGTTGCCCGTTTCGGATTCCGAGCCCATGGCCGCAGCGGCGCGGCTCGGAAGTTCCCCCAGGCCTTGGACATCAACGTGGGCAGCGCGGTGCGGCAGCTGGGTACCTTCGACCTTGGCCAGTCCTATGCTCTGCAGACCTTGTGTCGCCAAGGCGGTTTGGATCCTCGACTCGACCCGGTTTGGAACTTGGCAGTTCGTCCACGAAGCGTCCAGTTCCTTCGGTGGTTTTTAGTTGTTTTTTGGCGGTTCCCAGCTGTTTGTTTGGGATTTTAGGTTTTTGGTTGGTGAAAAGTGGGGGGCTTCCAAATGGAATCCACGAATAGTTAAGCTCCGGTTCCTTCGATTTTTTTAGTGGCTTTAGTTGGTGAAAAGTGGGGGTTTCCAAATGTAACCCACTAAAAGTTGAGCTAGCAGGGGATCTGACAGCCCAATTTGGAGTTTTAAGGAAACGAAAGAGGAATCGCGCCATTTCGGACAGACTCGTACTTGGGCGTGTGGGATTTTTGCGGCCCCGTAAACAGCTTTTGGCTTTTCTTTCGGTTTCCCGAGGAGAAACCACCAAACAACAGGTACCAAGCCTCAAAAGACACATACACACACACACCCATGAACAGTGTTCCCCCACAAGGGGTTCCCCAACAAAGGGCTGAATACGGCTTCTGAAAGCGTTCCGAAACCAAGAAGCGGCAATCAACAAATGGGCCTTGTCTTTTGTTGGCGTTAAGGGAAAACCAAGAGGCACACCGACACCCATGTGGTTTTACAGGGTCCCTTAAAGGTCGTGGGTTACGCTAAAAAGGATCTTGTGCCGCTTTTGCCAGTCGTTTTGTTCAGGTTCCCCTTTGTAGGCAGATGTGGCTTTATCTTGAAAGTTCACAAATTGGTTCACAAGACCGGTAACTGACTTGAAAAACTTAAAAGACTTAAACTCAGGGGTGAAACATAAATGTGGTGAGAAGACACGCGGGTATCAGCGGAGAAAGAGTCCCGGACACTCTGGACATTTTTTGGAACACTTCTACCAACAGTCATTTCCATGTGGTAGTACCTTGATTATCGATTGGTTTAGCTGGCCCGCTTGGTAGGTTAAAACCATGGTTCTAAGGAAACTACCGTGCATGCAGGCTGAATCTTGAAACTTGTCTTTGTTCAAACGAGGTAGGGTTACTCTCCGGGGTTGAATTCTCCAGTAAGGCCATCAATCTAGACATTGAGGTTGGGCCAACCTTTTGAAAGAAGTAGACCCTGGTCTCCGTTGATGCTGACCCAGGATTGCTTGGAAGGCAAAGGGAAGCTGGCCCCCTCCCTGGGAGCTAGTTTCCGGCCAGGGGGTGGGATCAGGTTTGGTTGCAACGTTGCTTCAAAGAATCAGAACCTCCCTGGCAGCACAAACTTTATTCCAGGGCTCCCCTTCAAAGGTGCACCAGAAGGGGGTTTACCCATCCCATGAAGATTTGTCTTCACTGCTTGATTGCTATTGGGTTGGATCTTTAGACTTTAACTTTTTGGGATTTTAAGGGGTTGTCCATTTAAGCCACAAGTGAAACTGTTTGCAGAGGGGTCAACAGCATCCAAGACTGTTCCTGGCATGTGTTTTTTGGGACACGGAAGAGGCTTAGTTCGTTATTTTCCAGCATTCTGGTTACACAGTCTTGGTGGCAAGGCAGCTACGTTCAGGAAACCAACCCGTAATCGTTTCAACAGGGCTTGTCAACATTCGTTGGCACCACCAGGCCCTTCAAAGCCAAAAGCAGTTTGTTTGAGCAACATTATTGAGTTTTAAGGAGCCTTGAAGCGTTTGGGAAGGTGTTAGAAGACCTGAGTCTGTCCCCTTTCAAGGTGAACCAACGGAGTTTGTTTAAACGAAAGGCAAGTTGAAACATGTTCAAACAAGGGTTTCTTGGTTGGGCCACTTTGGACGTGTTTTTCCATTCGCCCCCCGAAGGTGAACCAAATGGCGTTGCCCCTTGAAACATGGCGCTCCACTTTCGCCGGTGACTCGCCCTCTAGGGGACCTGGTGGTGGACGTGGGTGCCGTGGCACGATCAGCTCCAGGAATCGGAGGGAGGGCATAGCCATGGGCCAGTCCCTCAGTGCTTCTGGCCCCGGGTTTTTCTGAGTGAAAGCTCACTGGTGTGGCGGCTGGATAAGAGGGGTGGTTCCGAGATTCTTACATTCATTCTTTCACGCGCGAATTCACTTGACTATGCGAATTGCCGAACCAATGGAACACCTCTGGTGTATCATCCTTGTGTAGTTTGGTTGTGCTTGCTGAATCTCATGTAGCTTGCTGGTGTTTTCCTGGGCCATCGTGAAGCTCAGCGTTTTGGGGCTTCAAAAACGGGGTTGCCGGTTGGAAAAGGCAAGGTGTGCAGGGGATACATGCGGCTCCCCATGAGGTGGAGTCAGGTGGAGAATGGGGTTCTGGCAAATCAGATGTGGCCAATTAGTGGGTTTGGTTGTACCCTTCTAGCTCCAAACCGGCCAAACACAAGACTCGGGGACTGGGGAAGAGTGGGAAAGGACGGGAACAACCTTGTTTGAACCCTACTTGTCAGTCTCTGCATCTTCTCTGGCTCTCCTGTCCAATCCTCCTCAGCTTCCCAACTTGAAATTCAATTCAATCTCCCCACCTCAGTGCTCCTTTGTTGCGCGTAGCCCTTTTCGTGTCAGCGTTTAAGTGATTGACCCATCCATGCCTCATCTAAGGGGATTCTTGCCTCGATATCCCTGGGTTTCGGAGAAGGATTGGAGTGGGTGACCCGTTTGGAGAACACGTACGCTTTGAAGCAACCCATAGAATCAGCTGCGCGTTCCCATGAAACCTGGCCAAGGATATACAAATGACATGCACATGTAGCAGATGAGCAAGGGGAACATGACCAAACAGGATTCTACCCTCCCACCCGCAATCAACAACTTTGAGACTCGAACAGGAACTTTTGCTCTGTGAGCCTGCCTTGCGCGACAAGGGGGCGTCTTGCCAAACGCAAAACACCCCAAAGCATGGGCCTGGAATGCCTTACCCAGGCATTTTTCGCACAGTCGGTCTCCAGGTTAACTTGGTTGGCAATCTGGCAATCTTTGGGCTTCGAAAAGGATTTGTTCAAAGTGCGATTCCTCCCTTTTATCATCTTTTATCATCACGCCATTTGCTGCCACCTCTCCAAACCCATGGTGTGCACTCCAACCACCCAATACACCTCGGTGCCAGCTATGCGGGCCCTGTTCTTTCACCCAACTGTGGCTGGCACTGATCCCATGGAGCCAACTGCGAGCCGTTGGGACCCAAGAAATTGGGCCAACCCTCCACTTTTCCCCAGTCAGTGGTTTCAAAAGGCTTCCCTCTTGAAAAAGCCGCGGTTTTTTTCTCTCCCAACCTGCCGCCCTGTTTTTTCTCCCCCCCCTCCGTGTTTTGCGCCCCCCCCCCCCCCGCCGAGACCAAAGCCCAAAACAGCGCGGAAAAGAAACAAATCCGAGCCAACGGAGGTGCCAACCTGGGGGGCTTCACGGTGCCCCTGGCGCAGCGCGTGGGCGTGGAGGGCCAAGTCCATGCCTTCGAGCCCTTCCGGAAGGCGCCGATATCTTTTCGCGGGGAGACGAGGGGCTGAGGTTGTTTTTTTCCTTTTTCTCCCATGGGCTGCTTGGGGCGTGTAGGGTGGTTAGCCTAAGAATCCATGTAAGGCTCTCCAAAAAGCGAATGTTTCTTAGGTGGTTCCCAGCGATGGAACCATTGCTCTTTTTGTTGAATAATAGAACAATCTCAAATTGTATATTTTACCGTGGAAGATCGCCCGGTTTAGGTTCTTTGGCTTTGAGTTGGTTCCGAAAGGCACTGGGGTTCAAATTTTAAACCTCCGCAGCTGTTGGTTGAGGTAACCCTGTATAAAACTGAACCGTTGCACGTGAAGAGTTAGCTGTTGTCGGTTACCTGAAATATAAGCCATTCAACTGCTGGTTTCCTTGATTCGGGGACAATCGCCTGGGTTCCTTCAACCACATTCCCTATAAACTCTCAGGTAACCTTTAACAGGTGGTTTGGTGGTTTGGACGTGAGGGGCTAACTTCCCCCAATTGGTTTTGCAAAAGGAACTGAGGTTCAAATCCCAAATTGCCAAGGGGGAATGGCTTATCTTGCTTGTGTGATAAGTAGGGAATGTGGTTTGGATAAAAAACCCATAATCTTGTGTATAGAGGGATGGGAAACGACCCCGAACCACTAAACCGCCAATCGAAACCCAAAAAGGAAGCTAAATATTCTTGGTGGTTCCCAACCATGCGGTTCCTTAAGGATGGACGCCCAGCGACCCCTTTTCCTTAGGTTGTTAGTTGGTGAAAGGGTGGGGTTTCCATATTGACTCCACTAAAAGTGATTTTTTTTAGCAGGGAATCTAAACAGCCCAGTCTTCCATGTCCTCAAGGATGCGAGAGAGGGGGCGAGCGAGAGAGAGAGAGAGAGAGAGAGCCAAACAAACATATTCCATGACAAGGTAATCTTGTGCAGTGCGGACGAGATAGATCAGTATACTCAGTTGCCGGTCGCCTACGCAACGATTCATGCGCTTTGTGCATGCTTTGCATGTAGTGAGTGTTGCACTGAAGCGGGTTGTTGGCCAGTTACCCAGCCAAGTCTGCCCCACGAGAGTTGCTTTGTTGCACCTTGCATCGCAATGGAAGTTGAGCACGTAGCCCCACGTTCATTGAATCCAGAGTGTCACTCTTGTGTGTGTGTGTGGTTTGCCTCCATGTGTTTCGCTTGCCTCGTGGGTTTGGGCGTTTCCAAAATCAGGGCCTCCTCAAATAAGTTCTGGTGGCGGCCGTGCAACCTGCTGGAACCCTCCGAGCCCTCCCTGAATGCATTTGGGCAGCGATGCCCAAGTTTAAACCTGGAGAGCTCGTCTTTCCTTTGAATCACGGGGGTCCCTTCCCAAAAAAGCATCCCCATAGCTTGGCCCCCGAAAAGAGGTTGCTTTCCTTTGGGCCAAACTCAGGTTTAAAAACGGACCCCTCCCCCCCTCCCCAACCCCGAGCCCCGATTTGTTGCCCAGGCCTTAGGCCATAGTTGGAGGACACCTTTGGGTTTGGAGGTTGGAGAAGGGGTTGGACTGGGGTCATCACTTTAACGATGTCTGGGGGTTTTATCCCAGTCGGCACCTGGGTTGAGGAGGGCATTTGGATACTTTGCATCGGCGCAGGTGTTTCAGCACTTGAATGCCAACGCGCCTCGGATGGAAGAGCTGAAGCCATGGAAGCCTGGGATCTCCTTCGTGGGTTGACGAAACATGGCTGCCACAAGCTAGATGGAAGGCATTTCCATTGTTGGCCAAGTCCAGCTTTGACAGAATTTGGGTATGGGTCAACATTAAACCACCAGGGGACCGCTGGTTTTGGTCCATATTTCCATTTACCAAGATTCTATTGTGGGTACATATTTTAGACCCACAGCCATTTGTTGAAATAGAAGCAGCTCACAGGAATCTAGGATTGTGATTTTCGCTAGGGCAGAAGCTGAGGTCGATGGCTGGAATCACTCGGGCAAGGTTCAAGGCGTTTTTTCGGTGGCTGGGACTGGTTGATGTTAGTTGCCTGCCTTTGCCCACTGCACAGCCACCTTTTCCCCGGTTCGGCAGTGGCACCTGGGTTCTCTTGATTGGTTCAATGGAAGGTGCGTTACCACTGCAACAAGCCAAACAGGTACAAACCCGAACGGGCGTGTCTTTTCCGGGGAGCCACCCTTTGGTTCCAACAAGAGGCCACTGCTTTTGGGGAGTCCCCTCCCTCACGTTGACAAGCGCCCAGCTCCCGGTGTCCGTTTTCGCACGGGGGTTCGCCCATTCGAGCTTCCCGGTTTTTCCTTTACCCCTTGTCTAGCAAGGGCTCACACAGGGCCTGCGTTTGTTTGCCACAAAAAAAGGCAGTCCAGTAGATCCACAGGAGAGAGATCTACGTGTTTTAGGTGGTGATGGCGGCAGCACTGCTGCGTGTATGCATTCTATGGCGCTGCAAACACGGGAGTGCAACTGGTTTTGCCGAACACCCTGACACTTCTGGCACGATTCAACTGCCACGCCCAATGCTGCTACTACGTGGCGGGTAGAAGCACCGAGCCAGGGCTGGTTTGGATTCAAGTGGTCACGCCAACCAGATTGTTGAGGGGCCCTTCGAGCTCACCTGAGCTTGTAAGATGAGCGAAGGCCCATGATACAGGTACTTTATTTAGGGATCCTCGTTTTGTTCAGGCTTTGAGTTTGACATTACTTTGTCTTTTTGTGTGATGCCCTGCGACATGTCATGCAATGGGAGCATCTCCGCACGAGGTGGCTCTGAACGGCCTGTCCAACGTGTACACCTACAATGTAGCGCTAGGGGCAGCGGAGGCCCCTGGGATGAAAGTGTCTTTGAACGAGGCATGGCAAAACAAGAGCAGCTTGGAGACCATATCCTCCCGCTAGCATTGTAACATGGAACTGCACAAGCTCACTTTGGAGGAACCTCGTTTTTGAACAGGGCCTGCGCACTTCGATGTTGGTTGAACTCCCACCGGGGCAACCGACACTCCATGCAGGCAAGATATGCCATTCGACCCGCTTGCAGGGTCAATGTGTGTAAATATGCTGCTCATGGTTTCAGTGAAGGGACCCTCGACTTGCTCGTTTTCCTTGTGGTTTCGCTCGAGCCGCAACTCCCCACACGTTTCAGCCAGTGAAACCGAGTGCCCCACAACCCCGAGGCCCAGGTAGCGGCCTACGTGCCGGACCTGACCAACTTCAACTTCCCCTCGGCCATCCGTGTCATGGTTGTCGTTGGGAAACATTTTGCATTTTGGTGGTTTAGTGGTGGACATCCAACCCATTAACTTTTGTTTTTTAATCTTTGCTCCCCTTCCAACGTCAAGGTGTGGTGGACCAGTACCAACCCGACGATGCGGTGAAGGAGGCCAACCTCCGCTACGAGGACACTCGACTCGGGCGCCTGACTCAACTCCTCAACTGCGCCAAAGCGGGGTCGGATGAATTTGAAGAGAGACCCTCAAGCACTCTGCATGATGATTTTCAGGCGACCCCCCAAAAAGTAAAAGATGACAGAAGAGAAGGAGCGCCCCTCCACATGTTCAGAAAAGTATAGACAAGTCACACCCGCGACGGCTGCTTTTCTTTTTCCCAGGGGTGTCCACTTGTGTTATGTTTTTTCTTAGCCGCCAGGCCGCCTAAGCTCTGAGCGACTAGGCGGCTGTAATACTTTGTCATGCTGAGTGATTCTAACCATCACCTTTTGGGCTGATTTAAAGTCAACTTCCTTTTGGTGGGGTGATGTTTAAAGGATAAATATCGGGAACCCGGAGGTATCCAAAAGCCAAAAAGTCCAACGAGCACCTCGTGCTCGGCTTTTCGATTACAAAGAAGCAACTTTAAACATTCAAAATGGAATTCCTCATTTCCAGACAGACCCAACATGCCCAGCAAAAACCAAGAGGGGGCCGACTTGTTCTATTCCCACGTCCTCTTGGGCAATTCATAAATTTGTTTGCTTCTGCCTCAAGTGTTGGCCATGGGGTCCATGCTTTCTTGACCTCGCAGCTTGCCGTTTGCAACTTTCCGGGCTGAATCACCGAAAGCGCTATGGACAAAATCCATTGCGCACCAGCTGAAGCTGGTTCATCCCTTCATGGGGCTTGGTTGATCCCAACCCCAATGGTGTGCATTGGCGAGCGTCCAGCACTGTATCTCATTTCCCCCCAGAAGGGTTCTTACTGATCGGTTTCTGGGGATGTTTCGAACCTGAAGCTCGCGATACCCTGGTTCCGCGATCGAAGCCCGGGTAAGCGAAGGTTCGCAAGAGTGTCCCAACATAGGGGCGGCCGGCCGTTTGCTTCTTCAACATGATGTCAGGTGTTGATTGTGACTTCCTGCGGCTCGCAACTAAATTCGCGGGTTTCGAGGAGCGCCGGGAACAGCTGACAGTGCGTCCGCTGGACAGTTTCAGCTTCGAGCAGCGGGTGGCCTTGATGAAGATCGACGTGGAGTTTATGGAACTCCAGGCATATGACTTCCATGTGCTGAAGTGAATATTGTTTATTGCCCTGCAGGAAATCTGTCCCTACTGGGAAAATGCCCATTTGCCGGAAATCTATCACTACTGGACATATGCCCATTCTTTTTCCGTGGATGACGATGTTCACCGGATTAAACCACCAGAGGGGATCCGGATCACTTTTTGGACGGAACACGATTTTGCCGAAGTCGACATGTAATCATTTCCCGGGGGTGGTTGCCAACAGTCTTATTCGATTGGATATCATTCCGAGAGGGATAGAAGGTAGAGCTTGGTTGGTTAAAACAAATTGTACCCAGGGTTGTAAACTTTGATTGCACAACCAGACCTCAATAGTTGGCAACCTTTAAACTAGGTAATGTCCTTTCCAGTTCCCCAAGGGCAGCCAGGGGGTATCATTCCAGCAAGTTGGTTGGCACAACCAGAACCCGGTAGTCTTAAACCAAGGGCCTGCTGTTCGCAAGGACCCCAAAGTAGACTTGCAGAGTTGAAACATGTTGAACCAGGAAGGGGAGGGGGGGTTGGGCCCAACCCTGAGGGTACCACAAATGGCAGACTTAGGATCTACTCAAAACGGAACGTCTTTTTGTTTTGTTTACCGTCCTTGTAAGGTTGCCACGCTGTCTGCTAAACCAGCAAGTTTCCCTGAACGAAATCTGTGCTGCGCAAAACCTACCAAGACGCATGCAACACCTGATATGTACAGAGGTTGTTCAATATCCAAGGGTTGGCGTGGATGTTTTTAAATCATTTTCTAGCAAATTAACTATCCAATGTCCATATGCTGAACTATCAACTGCATTTACTGTACACAATACCAAAATAGTAATAAGGTGCACAACCAAGCAGGAATGACTGAAAGCAGACGCTCTTCGTCGCTGTAAAGCGCTTTCGGATCTAACATTCAGTATGGACCCCCCAAAACGCTTTAAAGCGCTTCGATCCAGGTAGCTCATGGATTCAAGATTTAACAACAAGAGTCCTGGGATAGGGGCCCCAATGTTGAATCCACGAATGTTTTAAAGCGATTTAAAGCGTTTTAGGGGCCCCATGCTGGATTCAAGATTCAAGATCTAGAGTCCTGCAATCTTGAATCTTGAGTCCAAAAGTTCTCGAAGTCTAGATTTCTGGGAATCTTGAATCTTGAGTCCAAAAGTGCTTTAAGGCGCTTTAAAGCGTTTTAGGTGGATAGAGGTGCAGTCAAATGCTCAAGATTGGGATGCCTGAAAAGGCTGGGTGGAAATCACCCAAAAATACTGCAAATACCATCAAATTATCTTGTGGCGTGTTGTTGTTTTGTTTTTTTTTGGGGTGGGGGGGGGGGGGTTACTATATATATATATATATGTATACAGTCTATACACACATGCACATACAAAATTGATTAACACCTCATATTAGATAGATTAGTTTGGATTAGATAAGGTAGATAGATTGATACATATAAAGATAGATAGATAGATAGATACGTATGTGTATATGTACATATAGTGAAACGTTGGTTAACTGATTTGGCACCCGGCAGCGTTACCAGCACCTTGCAGTCGGGCTCATTCTCCGAATCCAAAGCAGCCTTTCAAGAGATGGCGCGTGTAAACGTGAGCTTCTCGTAAATCCTCACTGCAGTGATCCACAGTTTGCATGATACTTCCGTCGTTCACGTCTCAAACACCCATTGGTCAAGGCATAAAAGATGTGAGCAGATGTTTCTGCTTTGTCTTGGCCAAGGGTTGTGAGCTAGCAGACGAACTGGATGTGCAGATGGGTTGGGCTGAGAGATGGAAGATGCGTAGCAGGTATTGGCACTGGTTTTGTGAGTTGACAGACGAAGAGGATTTGCACATCAATTGAGATGAGAAATCGAAGATGAATAGGCAAAGCAGAAGAGGCATTGTTTGCTTTATTGCTGGTACCCTTGCGCCGGTACTCCCACAAAGATGTTTACAGTCAATTGGACGAGGATAGCATTTGTGATCAAGACTATGAAAAGGCAAAATTGATATGGACACATTTTAGCAGTAAAACATGAGAGAACATCACGAATTCTGTGAAGGCAGATGTTTATGTATTGACTGACATTTTTAACAATGTGCAATTCAACGTGTGCTGAAATACATTTAGTTTATGACCAGAACATGTATGAGATGTTTGAACCACAATCTAAAGGAGGAAAGCCGCACACATGTTTTAGACAGTAGATGCACATACTATGCAAATGGGTGGCAGGGGCTCAATGAATTAATCTGCGGAAGTCTGCCAGCATTGTGCAATGAGGCCACTGCTTTGTAACATCCATCTAAACTGACCCGACTTCCCTTACATAAGCAGCTGGCGCGGGTTTGGGCGGGGGGGGGGAATTTATGCATAATAATTTTTATTATTGCACGTACAGGTCAGCCCATCTTCCGCAGGTGGTCCTGGGAGCTCAAGAGACCATCCGTCGAGACCAGCCGCTGATCTGGGTGGAGAACGAGGCCTACTTCGACGAGCCCGCGAACCTCACCTTCGTGGAAGCTTTGCAACAAGCCCCCGCTGGTGGATCGAGGGGTTGAGGGCGTACCGCTGGCTGGTAGGTGGACGCTGTGGGGATTTTGAGGGTTCTTCATGTGGGGATGGCTTAAATGGAGAGCAAAAGGAACGCCAGCAATTTGTCGGGGCTTCCCGAGTTTGACACGGACCCACTTGGAGTCTATTTTGGACCTCTTGGTTTAGGATATTGGTTTTTAGGGTTTGGGGTGCCCATGGCACGGACAACCCTACACCAACAAGGGCGCCTTAGAGAAACGTCGGTGGGTTGACCACACACAAGTCCAAACTTTTTCATCCGGCACAAACTTCCCAATAAGCATCAAGTTAGAGGACCTCAGGGAGTGAGGCCGCGCCGAAATGGACACCCATGGCCTTTGCTAAACTCATAGGGGGCATCCCATCCACGTAGAACGTAATTGTGAGGCTGTCACCTTTATGAGCCCGGTACACATGGTCCTTTTTGGGTGGCCATGCATTATTAGAGCTGCCGGCTTGTCCGAGTCATAATTGGTCTGGGCTGGCAGTAGCGTGGTTTGGGCCGGGCCTGAATCGAAGCGAATCCAGTCAAGGCAGAAAGCCAGGGTCCCCCCGAAAACGCATTCGAGAAGTGGGGGGATTCCATGTAATCGGGATGCTGGGTGTGGATTTTTCTGTCGGCGGCACAACAAAAGCCAAGGTCCAACAAAATATGTAACCCTGTGCGTTCAGCACAGGTTCTGCACCAGAATCCAAACACGTGTTTTTGCGAAGTCTATCGTGAAATGGGTGTGTTTGTTTGGCTTTCCCAGCAGCGGTCAACCCCGAAAAACAGGTCCTTTGTCAGATGTCAATGAGCGACCATGCCACCCCTTTCACCTAAGGAGACCATGCGCAACCAGCTTCAGTACGTGTGCTCGGCGGTTGCCAGGCCAGTTGGCTTTACGATGGCCGTGACCGGTTTGAGTTGATATCGTTGGACTTGGTGAAGCGCAAGCTCTCAGCTGCTACGTGCGGAATGTGCCGATGCTTGCAGTCTGTGTGTACTTTCTCAGGCTAGAAATAGGTGTGGGCAGCCTGCCTTGAGTCACCTGGAAGGCGGGAATGCGACAAACGCACATCCTGAGAGTGTTGGATTCTTCATAGACACCAGCAACATGGACATGCGCGAGAGCCCCAAATGCCACCAAGTACAGGTTGATATAGATGTGTTCCTTTATGCTGATTTCTTCAACTCGGGGGTCCTTGAAGGATACATACAAAACCACCCGCTTGAAACTAGGTCCTCCAAGTGAGCTGCTGGCCCAAATGCACTCTCAAAGGAACCCTGTAGTAAACAGCATGTGACCATGCTTATAGCTGGGTTAGCTGGGGATTAGCCCCCTTACAACAAGAGTTATAACCTTCCATTTGCTTAAGATTATGCTTGTATTTTCCCTTGTTGGATTTTGAGAAAGATCTATCACTGGAAATATGTTTATGTTTTTCCAAGGGGCTTCAGCAAATGGATGTAAGTCCCTGTGAGTTTGGTCGAGTCCTTGAGTCGCGTGCCAGGCTGGAGCTCCTTTGCGCGCCGGGCCGCAGAAGAGACGAGGGCCTGGTGCAGGACGAGTCCTTGATCCCGCAGGGCTTCCATCGGATCTTCCGTCGCCCGGCTTAGTCCCCTTCTCGCGCGCTGGAAATTTGCAGGGGAAGCCTCCACCCCCCCTCCCCCACCACAAAAACTGCAGAAATGGGGGAGGGAGTTGCTGGCACCGACATACGTGGGTGCTCCATGTTGGAGGAGAGGCAGATAACTTTGGGCTATTCATCCGCTTTGTTTTACTTAGGCTCGCAGGACTTTCGTGCGCTTCAGAAGACTTGTTATTTCCCACTGGTCTTTGAATAGAACCCAGCACGACCAGTTTTTCCCACGGGACTTGGGCTAGGGCTCACGCGTTTTCGGTGGAAAAAAAAGCACCAAAGCGGAGCCACGCTTTCGTGGCGGCTTCAGCGCGTGAGGGGTGCCCGTAATTTTGAGTGTCAAGCCTCAGGCGGCAATGCATGGCCCCAGGCCAGGCAAAGAGAATCTGTTGTCAACATTGCAGGTGGGCAGTCGTGAGTTTTTTTTCCCAACGGGAGGCTTTGCTGAATGTGTAGCCAGAATGTTGGGAAGTTTCCAGTGGCGGGCTTGCTCGAAAATGCGCATGTGTATTGCGACTGGTCCTTGCGTTTCGATCTTTCTGCCTGGTTGGTGTTCCTTCTTGCCCCCTCTCAAGCAGCTAACATGTTTGTTTTTCGTCGAGGGTCCAGTTAGGCCCAATATATATCATTTATTGTTGTAGTCAAACGGGGCCGCATGGTTGCAACCGACCCTCTTCCAATGTCACGACAAAAGTATCCCGTGATGAACATGGAACCTTCCTGTTTGTAGGTTTTGGTGGGGGTCGGAGTGGCCTTCTTTGCGGTTTCATGTCAAATTTCAAGGTGTTCCAACCCTTTTTGGCTTTGCATTTACGGGCCAGGCAGATTTCCCCCACCAGCTACGCGATCTTAGCCCGTGTAGGTGTTGTCCTATGGTTGCCAAGGGCAGTGAATAAGGTGTTGTCTTTTTGTGGCTAATTGGGATCCTTTTGGGAGGCTTCGGGGCCTCCAATTCCTGCTTATGTTGGACAGCGCCGGGTGGGATAGGAGGGGTCCTTCATCTTTCGTTGGCCCAAGTTTTCGTGCTGAAAACTAAGGCCACCTGTCAGGAGAGTTCAAGGACATGCACCTTTGGCGGGCCCTCTCTGAGGTAGATCCGTCCTTTGCAGCATCCGAAGCGTAGCAACTTGTAGCGATGTAAGGGGCCGTGCAGATTGGACCTAAGTCAAATGTGCCCCTCCCCGGATGGAAGAAGGATAACAAACGCACATCTGGAACAAGTTGCCGAGTTTGAGACAGTAGCCTCTTTTTATCAGCAAGCAAAATGGTGGACCTCCTGGGCGTTGGTATTTTTACTGGAGGACCTAGTTGTAGGAGATCTAATTTTGAGCCACACGAATATGACTCCTGCCGGTGAGTAGCAAACTAGCCAACGCTTTCAGTTTGCCGGGTTGGACTTGGCATCGCGCTTCGGTGCCAGACGAGCACCTTTTCTGGTAGTTGGGCAGTCGCTCGGTTAGAACAAAAATGGAGCGATTCGACGCCTGGCTTGGAGCGATTCGCGGTCCTTTCGAGATGTGCCCAGCGGCTTGGGGGGGGTGGGGGAGGGTTCCACCCTTTTCGCTTTGATTTGTTGGGTTCCCCACTGTGGCTGGACGAAAAATTGCATCAGTTGGGTGTGGTTTGTGCCACCAGTTAATGTGGGGCTTCATTGATCCCAGCTGTGCAGGAGTGATGGCCAACGTCTCCCAGTAGTGCCCTTGAACCCTTTTTTGGGGGAGGGTTCCCTAAAATAGACTACAGAAAACGGGTACCCGTATTCTAACCTCTCTACTGGAGGACCAATGAATTTGTCCACCCTCCAGGTCACCGCTTGCAACTGGATACACCCAAAAACGTGTTGTCCCGCAGAAGTGTGGATCTGGTCCTGGCGTCCAGGACCGCGTTCGGTGCCCCCTGTGGATGTTCATCACTAAAAGGATCCGATTTCGGGATGGATCATACCATGCTTGCCTACTGTAAATGGACAAAATCCTGCACCACCCAAGAAGCCCTGGAATGATGATCCCCTGTAAATACCAACAAACATAACAAACCATGGTTTTCTTTCAAATTGGTGCAGGATTTCGTCCATCCACAGTATGTTTCTGGCAAATTCCAAAAGGGCCAGCAAGTTGCTCGCTGTAAGTTGTCGTCGGCGTGCATTCACGGAAATTTGTTTGGCATGACGGTCGCATGCACGCAGCGTGTTGCACCAAGTTGGGGCAGCCAATTGTCATGATGTTTGGCATCTCACTTCTCTTTGGTGACGTAAATCGGGCCTTGCACCACCAGATATTGTCATGGCTGGGTGAATTGGCGAACTGCCCGGCTGCGCTTTTTGTTGAAAGCTAGTGCAGGTAATGTACCTGTTTGATAACCTTTAGCCTCGCACCGTCATGGCGCGCGCATGCAACGGTTTTGCAAGCATGGTCTTGGCCCCCGCCTGAGCCTCCAGAACGACCCTAGGAATGCCCCAGGCTTTTCAACCAGGCTCACGGCAAAGTAAGAGAATACCCTGTAACTTTTGTGCCGGCGGGTTTTCTCTATTTAATATTCACTGCGTCAGATGCTAGTGGATCCCAGCCACGTTTCTGCTAGGCCAGCCATTGTCATGTTGCTTTTCCTTTTGGTTTCTACAAGGCGGCACCCGTGGTCACCTTCAATAATACTAACCCCGTTTCTGTTGTTTGGTTTCCCTCAGGATGGAATCAAACCCGAGAGGGGGCATGGACGCAAACAATGGAACCAACTACCAAACCACAAAAATGGAATCAACCCCACCCCACCTCCTCCACCGATATCCGATACCCTCTTGCTTTATGACTATTTTGTTCGAAACACATGGTTTTCCATGGTAAATATATCTTCTTCTTGTCAGGGTTGACATGATTACCCACTAAAACACGGCCGGTGTTTGGAGGCTAGAGTCTTAGAGGCTACGGGGGTACAAGGAAGTGCTGGGCGCAAGCTCAATCCCCGAGTTCAGGGACTTCCAACCACTCGATCGGAAGTGAGGGTAAGTTGTTGCCCTAGTTTTGGGTTTGAGTTGGTTTACTTTCAATATGGGATTGGGGCACCCACATTGACAAACATTGTGGCGTTTCAACCGCGGTTTCATTTCGTGCGGCCCCGGATGTCGCAATCCCACCCACAAAGGCCATATCATTTGTGGTTTTCCCCCGTCCCGTGTTTTCCGGACCTTCTGACCCTTCAAATTGAAAGCACGGCCGAAGCGGCCAAAGCGGGCGAATGGCTTCGTCGCTCGTGCGAATCCGCGAGCGAAAGCCGCCTGCAGGATGAGCGAGCGCGGGCTGCAGGTGATCCGTGGCTCGCCGCCCCGGGCCTCCATCGCCGGGACCTCTGCGAAGTTTTCGACGGCGACGCGCGCGGGGACATAGGTGTGTCTTAAAATAGGGGAACCCGAAAATGGGAGGTTTCCTTTTGGTTTCCCTTTAAGGCAGCCACAGAAGTAGTATACCACCAAAAAAGACTCTCCTAGGTAGGTGTCCTTTTTTTAGTGGAATTGGTTGAACACTAGAGGGCGATTCCTGGTTTTCCTGGTGGTTCAATCAACTACCAGGGCCATCGATTTGCCCAAAAAAGGACACCCATGCTCGGGGCCTTCTTTCGGGGGAGAGAAATGCACCGCTGCTGGGACCCTTTGTCAAGTTGTGTGTTATGTTGATCACTTTGATCTCCTCTCACGATGAATTGCCATGTGTCACTTTGATGTTGAAGTATCATGAAACGGATGTTGTAACTTGAAATCGGGATGGACGTCTATATTGAACAAGCTTCGGGGTGTTTGGACGGTTTGGGGTACCCAGTTGAGGGGGTCCCCTACCTGACGACACCGCAATGCCATCAACTAATTGGAAAAGAGAGTTTCTGGTACTTAGCTGGGAAGCACCCCTTTGGCTCAGAAACACTTACTTACTTTGGAGCTGCGGGTTGTATCAACGCCCAAGCAAAGTCATCACAGAGAAACAAGGATACTTTCCTGAGGGGTTTGGTGGAATTCCCCTGTGGATTGCGATTGCGTGTCCCAGGCATTGAAGTGCTTAGGATTCTCCGACCTTTTGCAATCCCTACTTGCACTATTTAGGAAACCATTGCTCGATCCATAGCACGGATTCCGTGGGTTTTACTTAGAAGTCATCCTTCACCAGCGCGTGTGGACCCGGGAAATCTTGATTTTAGTGTCCTTCCCTTTTCTTGGAAGACTGGGCAATTGACTTGAGAATCCCCGAGGTGGATCAGGAGTCGACCTCCGCTGGGAGGCAACCCGTGGATTTGGATGGGGCACGAGTTGATACTTTTCTTGGATGGGAAACGGCCCCGGACCTCCAAACCACTCCAAGCAAATTGAAGCAGTTCTTTTGGCCCCATCATTTAAGTGCTGGTTCTCAGGGAATGAGTTGGAGCCACCCCTTTCCTACCATCCATCCTGTAATTTGCAGTCGATCCCCAAAACCGGTCCATGCCTCCGTTCCCAACCCCCGGACTCGGACTTCGCTCGGTCGTGCCTAGCAAGGTGCGCCTCACTCGTTCGACGGCCCCTTCGCCAGAGGAGGTCTTGGTGCGAGTGCAGGCGGCGCCCCCAAAAACCAACGCGGCGTCGTGCGAGGGGAGGAGCGAGCCAAGTGGGGAACCCATGTGAGCTGGTTGAGGGATTCTTTTTCGAAATTCCTTTGCGGGTGGTTGTCCTGTGAACCCCGTTTCGGGTGCGGTTTTGCGGATGGACCCGATTGAAATTAATGTGGCCCCCTTGCAATCTTGTGGGTTATACAAGTCGGACCTCAGGATCCTGTGTGCTCGCCACTTTGGAGCCTGTTGAGGCTGCCCATTTTTGGACATCAAAGGGAAGCTTAAGTGTGAATGCCGGCATCGCAAGTCACAATTCGACTGCCTTGTCCACAAATCACGCCGATCTTTGGCTTACGAGACAAGGAGCTACCTGGATGGCCGCCCGGGAATATCTATTCCACTTGCCAACTAGGGTCACCGAAGAGACCTAAAGATCCTTTAGCCCATTGTTTTCGGAGCACTTGCATGGCCGCACATATGGCCTCTTGGCCTCGTCAATCGTCGATGAGGAACTGCGCCACTTAAGCCATAACGTGTGCCAGTCTTTCCTGGAATGCGTCAGGACCAAGTTGCATGAGTCTTGTCTACAGGTTCATCGCATCTTTGCCTTTGGGAGAACAGTTTGGGTTTCGTATTTTGTAAGCTTGCTTAAGGACTCAATATTTTAGGATGTCCCTGCAGAGTTTGGGGTTGGTTCAGATTCCACCCAGGGCACCAAACGGCCAGCAACATTCCCAAGGTCACCGGGATGGCGGTCCGACCCCTCCAAAACCCACACTCATTTTGACATTTGGCAGGTTCTCCTCCTGGTGCAGCCCTTTTTGGCTGGTTTTTACCTGGAAGCCAAAAGGAAACTACCTGACTTTGGGTCAAGCGTCCTTTTTCTGCCGCACCCCGTCTCTCTCCCCACGACCTCGCGACTCGCCGGCCTCAGCTTCAGGCGGCGGCGCTCGCAGCCACGGACGCCTCAAGCTCAGCTCGCCGGCCATGGGCCGGCCCGGAGGAGCCTGAAATGCGCTTGCTCGATGCCAATTGGGTACGGGTCAACAAACAAGAGGAGCCCGGGAACCCAAAAGCAAACCAGCCTCACTCCCCATGACATGTGGATCCCGTTGTTTTCCGGCTCAAGGGTCCGAAGGCAAACCAAGATTTAAGTTGTTCACAGTTGGGAAATCAACCCCAAAACAGATGAAGAAGGGGAGCAACCGCGACTCAAGCCGGATTGGCAGCCAGCAGCCTGTGCTCTGACCAAGCACAGAGAAAAAGGCAAAGGCGCGGGTGAAACATGACAGGCCCCGCACTACATGGAAGGCACGAAGTCATCCGATTCATCATGAAGAACCAATCGCAGAAATCCGCAAATGGATCCGCACAAGCTACCACTCCCAAATTGGAAGCGAAGCATAAGCTCGCTCTACACCCATCTGAAACAAGTCTGAGACACAGTGTTACAACACGATCTGAGAGACCGGGGTCAGCTGTTCGGATGTTCATGCGCCCTTTTGTTTGGGCCGAGTGTGCTCAGCATATTCATGTCAACGTGCTTCCAGGCTGCTTCCAAATAAGTAGGGCGAACCCCAAGAGGCCACAGACTCTGAAGAGAGGGTTCGTCCTAGAAACACATTGGCGCCATTTGTTCGGGTCAGGTGTGCGGCAAAAAGGACAATCTTGGCGCACCTGGAACGCCGGGCTGTTCACATGGAGCCGTGCACGTGGCCTTCACAAACTTGCTTCGTAAGCTTGCTTGGATTCGTTAGTTTCTCCACCTATTTTCCCATTCGCAACCAATTGCAACTGGTGACTTTGTGGAAAGGGCCGCGCACGTTGTCAATTGGATGCGTGTGGATGGCAAGTTGGGTGGATTCGCCGCAGGTGTGTGGAGACGGGGCCGGCGCTGCGCTTTTGCGGGGGGCTCGGTGTGGACAAGCCTCGGTCACTTGGTGGGTCTGACGCCTGTCTGAAACAAGTCTGAGACACAGTGTTACCACGATCTGCGTAGACCGGGGTCAGCTGTTCGGATGTTCATGCGCCCTTTTGTTTGGGCCGAGTGTGCTCAGCATATTCATGTCAACGTGCTTCCAGGCTGCTTCCAAATAAGTAGGGCGAACCCCAAGAGGCCACAGACTCTGAAGAGAGGGTTCGTCCTAGAAACACATTGGCGCCATTTGTTCGGGTCAGGTGTGCGGCAAAAAGGACAATTTGGCGCACCTGGAACGCCGGGCTGTTCACATGGAGCCGTGCACGTGGCCTTCACAAACTTGCTTCGTAAGCTTGCTTGGATTCGTTAGTTTCTCCACCTATTTTCCCATTCGCAACCAATTGCAACTGGTGACTTTGTGGAAAGGGCCGCGCACGTTGTCAATTGGATGCGTGTGGATGGCAAGTTGGGTGGATTCGCCGCAGGTGTGTGGAGACGGGGCCGGCGCTGCGCTTTTGCGGGGGGCTCGGTGTGGACAAGCCTCGGTCACTTGGTGGGTCTGACGCCTGTCTGAAACAAGTCTGAGACACAGTGTTACCACGATCTGCGTAGACCGGGGTCAGCTGTTCGGATGTTCATGCGCCCTTTTGTTTGGGCCGAGTGTGCTCAGCATATTCATGTCAACGTGCTTCCAGGCTGCTTCCAAATAAGTAGGGCGAACCCCAAGAGGCTACAGCTTCTGAAGAGAGGGTTCGTCCTAGAAACACATTGGCACCGTTTGTTCGGGTCAGGTGTGCGGCAAAAAGGACAATTATGGCGCACCTGGAGCGCCGGGCTGTTCACATGGAGCCGCGCACGTGGCGGTTGCCGCATATCATGAGCGTCCACCGCGCCAGTCTCGCTCGCCGGCATGTCACGAGCGTCCACCGCCCCAGTCTCGCTCGCGGTCACGAGCGTCCACCGCGCCAGTTTCGCTCGCGGGCGGTTTCCGCATGTCACGAGCGTCCAGCGCGCCAGTCTCGCTCGCGGGCGGTTTCCGCATGTCACGAGCGTCCACCGCGCCAGTCTCGCTCGCGGGCGGTTTCCGCATGTCACGAGCGTCCACCGCGCCAGTCTCGCTCGCGGGCGGTTTCCGCATGTCACGAGCGTCCACCGCGCCAGTCTCGCTCGCGGGCGGTTTCCGCATGTCACGAGCGTCCACCGCGCCAGTCTCGCTCGCGGGCGGTTTCCGCATGTCACGAGCGTCCACCGCGCCAGTCTCGCTCGCGGGCGGTTTCCGTCTCCACCGCTCTCGCTCGCGGGCGGTTTCCGCATGTCACGAGCGTCCACCGCGCTAGTCTCGCTCGCGGGCGGTTTCCGCATGTCACGAGCGTCGCGGGCGGTTTCCCCATGTCACGAGCGTCCACCGCGCCAGTCTCGCTCGCGGGCGGTTTCCGCATGTCACGAGCGTCCACCGCGCCAGTCTCGCTCGCGGGCGGTTGCCGCCTGTCACGAGCGTCCACCGCGCCAGTCTCGCTCGCGGGCGGTTTCCGCCTGTCACGAGCGTCCACCGCGCCAGTCTCGCTCGCGGGCGGTTTCCGCATGTCACGAGCGTCCACCGCGCCAGTCTTGCTCGCGGGCGGTTTCCGCATGTCACGAGCGTCCACCGCGCCAGTCTCGCTCGCGGGCGGTTTCCGCATGTCACGAGCGTCCCCCGCACCAGTCTCGCTCGCGGGCTTTCCGCATGTCACGAGCGTCCACCGCGCCAGTCTCGCTCGCGGGCGGTTTCCGCATGTCACGAGCGTCCACCGCGACAGTCTCGCTCGCGGGCGGTTTCCGCATGTCACGAGCGTCCACCGCGCCAGTCTTGCTCGCGGGCGGATTCCGCATGTCACGAGCGTCCACCGCGCCAGTCTCGCTCGCGGGCGGTTTCCGCATGTCACGAGCGTCGGCCGCGCCAGTCTCGCTCGCGGGCGGTTTCCGAATGTCACGAGCCTGCACCACGCCAGTCTCGCTCGCGGGCGGTTTCCGCATGTCACGAGCGTCCACCGCGCCAGTCTCGCTCGCGGGCGGTTTCCGCATGTCACGAGCGTCCACCGCGCCAGTCTCGCTCGCGGGCGGTTTCCGCATGTCACGAGCGTCCACCGCGCCAGTCTCGCTCGCGGGCGGTTTCCGCATGTCACGAGCGTCCACCGCGCCAGTCTCGCTCGCGGGCGGTTTCCGCATGTCACGAGCGTCCACCGCGCCAGTCTCGCTCGCGGGCGGTTTCCGCATGTCACGAGCGTCCACCGCGCCAGTCTCGCTTGCGGGCGGTTTCCGCATGTCACGAGCGTCCACCGCGCCGGTCTCGCTCGCGCAAGTCACGAGCGTCCACCGCGCCAGTCTCGCTCGCGGGCGGTTTCCAGCCAGTCTCGCTCGCGGGCAGTTTCCAGCCAGCCTCGCGCACCCAGTCTGCACCACGCCGTCGTCCCCCCAGCCAGCCCCACACCGCCGTCCCCCCAGCCAGCCTCGTACGCCCGGTCTGCAGCCCCAGCCGGCATCGCACGCCCGGTCTGCAGCACAACGAAATGGAAATCCTTTCTTATCTCCGTCGTCACAGCTTGTATCGCTGCCAGGCACCTTAAGAGAAAACCTAAAGCAGAACCCAAGCATCAGAGATGCTTTTAGGAAAAAACCACCAGGGGGCCGCAGGTTTTGGTTCTGGGTTCCATTTTCCAGGGTTCCATTTTGGGTATATTGTTGACCCGCAGCCAATTCCCTTTGTGAGAAGCTCTGAGGCTTATAGTTCGACTCTGCGAATGCAAGGGGGGAGATAGTGTTGTACGGTGTGGTCTTCCTCGTGATCAAAAAGCGCTGTGTGGAGTTTTCTTAAAAGGACAGGCGCAGGGCGCGGGATGCTACCCGTACCCACCAGTGCGATGCATGCTAAGGATTGCCTTTCCAAGCAGATCCCCCGGAATTCTGTGCCGGGTTGGGCAAACTTCGCTTGAGCAAGCAACCCTTCCTATTGCCCCCAGCCACTGGTTTGCACGGCAAAGCCCACTTCTGAGAGATCGCCCTTCCGTACGCAGGTAATTTACGGTGTTTGTACAGAATAGTGCGTTTGTCGTCTCTGTTTTGTTTAAACATTGACATGTTCTCTTTGCTCACGGGTCCACACAAACAGGTTTTTCTCGAAAACATGTTCTTCAAACCAGGTTGTTTGTTTCCGACCCGTTTTTTGCAACTCAAGGCAGTTGTGCAAACAGTTCGTTCGATGCGGGATGCAGCCAAACCCTGGTTGCCACTCCGGTGTGATGGCTTCCACTACCAGGTAGAGTCACAGCATATATCTGTAAGCATAGTGAGCGACAATCAGTAAGCACATGGACCCCAAATAATTGTGGCCCACCCATTTCCTGATAAATCTCTAAATGTGTGCTAACTATGTCTATTGGCCGGGTATGCTAAACCAGTGTTGCTCACTATACTGGGTATGGTGCACCCGAGTTTACCTAGGGCCAAGTCGCACGTTTACAAGACACTGATTAAATCAAGGGTTGTGTGTGGGCCCATGTCCTTTGATACGGTAGGACGTTTCGGGGTGGAAATCGGAAAGCATCGCATCAGTTTGCGGCCGCCTTGGGTCTCAGGTTCAGCTTTGCCATCGCTCCTTTACTTCCGAGTGGGTGGCCAAGTGACAGGGGGTCTCATGTTCCTTTTTGGCCTGTTTCACGAGAAACCAAACGAAAACCACCATTTTGGAGTTGAGACATATTTCCCCGTAGTTTCCTTTTGAGTCTTAAGCATCACCTTTTGGTTGCCACTTTTTGGATGAGTTTTCTCTTGGTGATGTAGGGGGGAGAGAGAGGTCTGAGTTGCGGGATGTTGAGAGAACCTTGACAAGAGGCGCAAGGGAGAATGAGGTATACATAGGTATACAAAACCGTTGATCGTCCCACATGCCCACAGCGAGTCGACCTTTTGACCTTTCAGTTTTCCCTTGTTGCTCTTGCTTGGCCCCAAAACCTCAACCTTTGATGTCTGCGTCCTTTGGGCAACTGAGGTTGGTCATATAGTGATTATGATTCTTTACTTTCTTCCTGGGGACGATGGTGAATGGTTGCGGAACCTGGAAGAAACTAAGGTGTCGACACCAGAGGTACCTACGCGTATGCATACGTGATGCATGTTGCTTGGCCTTTGTTTTCAAAATGATGCGGGAACTTTTAGGACCTTCCGGAATATTTGAGCACGGGCCACCGATTCTCAAAAGTTGGGAGAGTGGACTCCGGGCCTAAATATGTGATAGGCTATAACCACATGAACAAACCACCACATCCTCTTAACTTTCAGCATGTGCGGCGCTTTCCGGATTTTCTTCAACTTGCAGTATCTTTGAACTGGAGCTGACCTGTCGGTTTTCCAGCTCCCTTTGGCTGGCAAATGAGTTAAACTTAGGCTCTCTAAGCAACAGGCATAATCAGGATGTCAACGCTGGATATACGGTTTTCCTTTTCCCAGCATTTGGACGCGATGTGTTTTGTTTTATGGCTTACCCTGATGCTCTTTGTGGCAGTGGAACTGGGCCTGCCACTCATCGCTCGGTGGGCTCTGCTATGAACACCTGAGCACAAAGAGTTCTTCGAAGGAACGCCTTGACATCTGAAGTTAGCTCTCAATGAGGCTTTTAAGTCTTGAGCCATCACAGCATTCAGCTCCATTTACCAAGGCAACACGGGATTTATTGCCCAGAGCAACAGACTGTATTGATTATGATCATTGCGCATTGGGGAGTTGTTATTACTTGAATGGTTTGCTTTCACTTTGTTTTGTGGCAGTACGTCGGGGACTTTAGCTCATCGGAGTTCAAATCGCTGCGAGCATGTGGCATGCCTTGGATTGTGCTGACCGCAGTTTTTTTCGGCACCAAGCAGCATCTATGACAGGTTGCCTCACATGCTGCAAGCCAAGTCTTCAGAGCCACGCTTCCATTCCCAACTCAGAGGTTTGTATGTTTACAACTGCACTTCAAATGAGCGCTCTTCTGCTTGCCCATGGATTTGACCATGCTTTCTGAAGGGAGACTGAAGTTCAGTTGATATTGCGGTGCCGCGTTTTTCCCTGCGCCGGAGGTAGTTTTGACTAACGCGCGGGAGATGGCTTGGAGCAATGGCAGTGCATGGCTGCCCTTCACTCGAAGGGACTTGGACAGTGGTGCTGGCCGACAATGACACCAGGCCTGGCCTGTTGAGCGAGTCGCCAGGCTGCTCCACCACTTGAGGGGACTGCCTTTTGGCACCCCAGCTTGAATGTCACATTTAAGCAAGCCTGGGCGAATGCAAAGGCTTTGCTCAGTGGATTCCACACTCTCTAAATCCCTTCTTATCCTTGGCTCCAGACCCAAACGTGGAGCCAGCCCCCAAAAGGGGTTCCTTAGATTTCCTTTGCTTTGGGCGAGCTGAGCATTCTTTTTTGCCATAGCAAAGTCATGTTGAAGGGGGACCCGTAAGGGACCCTATGATGTTTGCTCCCAGCTGTTCGGTGGGTTCCAGTCTGACTTTTTGGTTTGAGGGAAAGCATGGAATCGAGTTCAATCTCGTTTCCTCCAAAGGGCTTTAGGTCTTAGGCTCCTTTTTGCTTGGGGTGAGTGGATTCTGGATCCCATATCCTATATGTAACACCCACTTTGGTATCGCAGATATCGGGCTACTTCCGATGGGTGTTTTATCAGTGGCCATCTTTGGGCCCAACAGCTTGTCACCCAATGAGCCTTACATCCAGTGTCAAACAAATGTTGGAAGCGCTTGCCTTTTGTGGCAAAAGACAATCATGCGCCTAGCGGAGCATAAGAAGGTGAACTCATTGAACCGGTTACCCAAGTAAACTAATCATGCGTTCAAGGTGTCGCTTCAGAGCTCCCAAACAACAACTGCGCACTTCGAGTACTTAGGTGCTTCAGACCAACAAAAAAACAAGAACAACAGGTACTGTCAACCCCGGACCATTTGATGTGCGAAGGTTCTGTGCTTTCGTGTGTCAGCCCAAAAACCGAGGAGTCCCTCGGGTTGAAAGCGGAAGATCGCATCAAACACCGAGTGGATTCCAAGAAGTTCGCGCCGAAATCGCCAAGCGGTTGAAGCCCTGGACCCCCCTTTGACGTCACGGAAGCTGGTCGGATTTGTTCACCATCTTTCTTGATTGCTCTTGGGTTGGATCCTTAGACTTTTACTTTTTGGAAAATAAAGGTGATTTCCATTAACCCCCAAAAAGTTCAACTTTTTGCAGGGGGGTCAACAGCAACCAAGCTTTGCCATCCATGTTGGGATGCAGAGGGGGAACCTTTTTACCATTCGCCATTCGCCATCATTCCCCACATGTCAAGTTTGTAGGGGTTGATTCCCCATTCTTTTCAACCATCGTTCTTTCCAAAAACCAGCCGTTTTCCCTGGGATTCCGGAGGTTTTCTAGAAAGAAGGATTTCTGGGTTTAGAATGGGGAAGGTACCCCTACCAGGGTCGGAGACTGGCCCAGAACGATGGTCCAAGAATCTTGGCAAATGAAGCACGACCTCGCCTAGCAGATCTAGCGCGGTCTCGCGACAACACCCGATCTTACAGGCGACCATGGCAGATCTAGCGGTATGTCTTTCCCATGTCTCCTTCTTTCCAGAAAACCACCATCTACGGACAAGCGCTGGCTCTTGCGCAGAACAAGTTGGTCCTTTTCCCACCTGGGAGACCTCAACCGCCTCGAGTCTGACGCGCATCCCTTTACTCTTCGCACACCTGCCTCGTTCGTCACAGCGCCCCAGCTCGTTTTTGTAAAAATCCAAGTCTAAAGGTAGCGACTGGCGATGCAACTGGCTTCATGTTCAAGCAGCATTTCTTCGGTTTCTTCAAGCAACTTCAAGAGCCGTGCACAAAAAGGCCTCCAGCGCGATGATTGGTAGGAGGGGGTTTCCCCTTTAGCAATGCGAATATCCCGACAAAGAAGGGTGTCGGTTTTTTGATGGCCACCTACTTTTTACATTTTGATTCAGAAACACCTTTTCTGAGTAGCTCATGTGGCCAAGAAGGGAAAAAAGGGAAGTCCCCAGCGCCAGGCTGCAAAAGCGGCCCAGCAGTGCGGGGTACTCCCGCTTTGCGCCGTGTGTTGGGAAGATTCGGCCTGCCAGCGCGGGCGCGGCGCCTTGGAAGACGAACCTGTTGGAGCGGGGGGGGGGGAGACCCGGCGACCCGTTGGTTGGGTGTCCATTGGCCAAGGTCCCAGGAGTCGCTAAGCTGCACTCAACAGTGCAAGTGAGAACTCAGATTGTGCAGTCAATCCTAAAAGCAATACCCAAAACGCAGGTGGCTGCCAAAGGGGTTTCATGGTCTCGAGACCCTGAGTGGCCGTACGCGCGTCCCCTTGTTGATGATTTGCCTAACGCTGACCTCTGCTTAATAAACCCCAAATTATTAATCAGGGCGCTGGGTGCCAAATCGACCATTTGTCAGAAACAAAAGTGTACAGCAGATTGTTCCAGGCCCGTATCTGACTCCGAACCCTATTTCACCCTGTCAACACCCAGAAAAGTCTCTCAACGTTCTGGTTTAGAGAATGGGTCCCTCAAAATGTAACCAGTTTTGACGGTTCCGAAATGTTCGATTGAACCTCCAACACATACATTTGGGTATGGGTCATACTAAGGATTTGGAACCCCTCAAACTCTGGTTTTCCTTTCCCCCTCCAAACCAAAATAAAAAGGAATCCATTTGAAACACCCCCTATTCAGCGTTTGAACCCAAGGACGGTCCCTTTATTTCCCCTGGCTTACACATTAGCTTTTGGTATCCAGTGGTGTTACTTTGGATGGGCAAATCCTGCACCACTTTGAAACCATGGTTGAAACCAGAACGTTTGTGGGTATTTACGTTGGGGAATCGAATCATTCCGAATGGTTTCAGAGTTCGGTGCGAGACTCGCGGATTTCGCGTCGCCATCCACAGTTTGAACCGGTAACGGAGGAACCCAAGGACTTCGGGTTTAGAACCCGAGGAGGTGCCATCCGAGGTTCGCAGGGAATCAGCGGAGTTGTTCGCGCGACAGCTGGGAGGTCCTTGGCCGGCGCCTAGGTCGCAGACGGCAAGGGCCGGGAATTCGTATGGAGCTAAGCGACTACCTAGTTTTGAGTCGTAGTACCCGTAGGGCGTGAAAGGAAAATTGGAAGGAAGGCCAAAAGGCAGCCAAAAGGCAGCCAAAACCGAAAGGAAGACCTCATTTTGGGGTTGCACAGGGAGTAAGGCAAACTGCCTAACCGAAGACTTCTCCAAGGTGAGTGAAACACATTACTCGGCTTTTCATGGAGTGACTACCTTGATCGCGATCACGTGGCCGCTGGCTGGAAAGTGAATGACTGCAGGCAAACACACCTAGGCGTCATTTTGGGTCTGTCTCAGGTCTTCCTCAGGGGTAAAACAACGAGAAGTCTGGGAGGTGGCCTTTTTTTTCCAGCAGTTGTTCTTGGGAGCTCGCCCTTTTGGGGTCTGCGAAAAGCTCCCATTAAGGATGGTTCTCAGATTCAGGGAGTGGAGTCTCAAGGGGAAAATGGACTGGGCAAAGTATCGCACGAGCTCAGCGATTCGAGGGCGCAACGGAGTCATGACGAAGGTCTCTTGCGTGGGGATTCCTTTTGTTTGCTTT